GTAGCAGTAGCAGTAGTAGCAGCAGGACGTCGTAGTAGTAGTGGTAGTAGTAGTAGTAGTAGTAGTAGTAGTAGTCGTAGTAGTAGTAGTAGTAGTAGTAGTAGCAGCATCAGCAGCAGCAGGAGTAGGAGTGGGAGTAGGAGTAGGAGTAGGAGTCGGTGTAGGAGTAGGAGGAGGAGTAGTAGTAGTCGTCGTCGTCGTCGTCGTAGTTGTAGTTGTAGTCGTAGTCGTAGTCGTAGTCGTAGTCGTAGTAATTAGTAGTAGTAGTAGTAGTAGTAGTAGTAGTAGTAGTGGTAGTAGTCGTCGTAGCAGTAGTATAGTAGTAGCAGTAAGCAGCAGGAGTAGTAGTTGTTGTAGTACTGCTGGTACGAGTACGTCATCTGGTACCGGTACTCGTGCTCGTACTCATACACTGGTACGAGTAGTAGTGCGATGACTACTGTTATACTATCAGTACTGGCACCAGTACTACTACTAGTACTGGGAGCAGTAGCGGTGCAGTAGTAGTAGTGGTTCTGATAGAGAAACCGGTTGAGGAGCAATTAACAAATATGAACTGATGCTGGACGGGTTGAGCTGAGGCCGACTATGATGCCCGCGCCCATCCCTCCCAATATGGAGGCGGAAGGCCACCAACCTGGGAATCTCCCACACTGGGTTTCTTCTGAACTTAAAGAACGTTAAACGAACTGACGTACAGGCTGGAGCATCTAGCAAAGGCCTTCTGAACACTTTGGGCCCGGTCAGAACTCTTGATGCCGACAAGCCTTGGATTGGGGTTGACAGAGCTTAGCCATGAGACTTCAGGCAACAGCAGCTTGCTTTCTTCAGTCTACGGAACAGGCATTGGAAACTGACGCTATAGGCATCGTTAGTCAGAACCTTGTACGGTGTTTTGGACATCGTCTGAAGTACTGCACAGAAGCAAAGATGTAGTCCTCTCGCGCTTCAGTCCTCTACGGAATATCGCCAATCCGAAGGCCGGCATTTCCTCTCACGGCCAAAAGAACCCGAGGGGCAAAGGCCCTAAAGCAACACTAGTACGACGTGTCCGGACAGCTCCGAAGAAGGTATTTCCAAGGCAGGGCGCCGTCGTGCATCTAAGGGTCTCGCAGTAGAGTTTGGCCTGAGAGCAGCGACCATGTGCCCATCACCCCAAACAACTCAGGCCTGCGGACTATGGCTTAAAGCCGAAGCCCTCTAAACCCTCACGTCCAGATGTTCCCTTTGGATTCCCTGAGCCGAAGCGCCGCAGCCTCAACTGAGCGAGGCACGCTCTATGTCGGCACCGGCGCGGCTGTGGTACGGCAGGCTGGGCGGCTTGAGCCGTGGGTCTTCAGAGAGCCTGAGGCTTGGGGTCAAGCTTTGCTGAAGCTCGTGCGCGGGTAGATTTCAGATCTGGCTGGTGCATTTGGAGTTCTTTGCTAGACTTGATGCTTGTTGCCCCATGTTGTGCTGGATTTAGCGTTCACCGGCTTGTCGACTCGGGGGGTTTGTAGGCTGTAGGGTCTTTGGGTTTACAGGCTTGGGGTTTTCGACTGGAGACCAACATGTCAACGGTCTTCTTCGAGGAGGCTTCGTGGCCCAAGTCTCGCCTTCAGGGGCGAAACCGGATTCCAAGAGGTGTCAACCAAGACCTCAATCGGTGCCTGGGTTGCGCAACGAGACTTGATCCTTGCTGTGATTGCGTGCCCGTACGCTTTTAACCAACTATAGAGCAGGTTCGGGTCCTTGATCTGCCGGGTGTGCACGATGACGCTGTTTCCGAGATGAAACAGATAAGTGTTCAAACCGCAGCCTAAACCTCACCCCTCACATGATAATGGGGCTTCTTCTAGTCGCAATTGCAACTTGTGTTTTCAGAGTGTGATGTAGTGGCGCCATCAACATGTTGAGTTTGTTTAGTCAGTTCCTCCACCTCGTAGTCACGAAGCCCAGCAAAAGCAACTTCGACTGTCACGAGTCGTGGAGATTGTAGTTGCAGGCGCTTTGCCAGCTGGAGCCCGTCTCAGTTCTGCAGAGATTGCTGTGGGAGATTGACCTGTCCAGGCCCCAGAAGCTCTCAGATTCACCAGCCATGAACATACACATCACTAAACCAGTAGCAACAGTTGTTGCGATGCTCATGTCCGCAACCACAGTGCTTAGGGTGGGTCAGACCGCCAACATGCCCATGACGTGCACTTCCTCACAGCTTTAGTGGACACCTGGGCAATCTCTGTCATGGGGCCTTGGCGGACTGGGGCGGTTGCTTTTCGGCGGCCTTCATGGTGCCCATGATGGACCTGTGCCTGTGTTCTCGTTCTACTGTAGTCTGCAGGGACTAGTACCCAAAGGCTAAAAACACAACGCGTCTGGAGTCGAGGAAACAAGCTGGTGTCGTGCACTTGGTCTACGACCCCACACCAAACCCAACACCCGAATCTCCTTGCTAATTTTGAGCCTCGTGAGCCAAAGAAAGCCTGAGCCCCAGCCCCCGAGGATTGACAGCATCGCCAAGAGCCAGGGGCCTTCTCTCGCCATGAGGCTTTCAGGGCTCTGAGCTTGCGGAATGTCTGAGTTTTTGGAGGGGCGTTTCGTTTAGGATTCACATGGGTGGGTGTTAGGGTGTGGATGCTGCATGGTGTTAGCATATAGCGGTTGTGGATGTAGGGTCCTTGACGAAAAAAAAAGGCGTCTAAGCTTGGCTGTCACTGCCAGTGACCCATGCAGTCATGCTTTGATCGTGTGAGTGGCGGCACTTCAACAACAGAGGGCCCGGAGAGACGACTTCAGGGTTTCTGGAGTGTAGATTCCACGCTTTAGACTTTGGGGTGTGCGGCCTGGGCTTCGTCTCATCACAGAATGTTGCTGAAGGAGCTACAGTAGCAGCACTGTTCAGATAAGTCGTAACCGAAGTAGATACCCTGAAAGGAGCCCTCAAACTCCTCGATGTTTTTCGCTCTTCTATCGCTTGAGTGCAAGTCCCGTTTCTTTGCACGACATACTCCAACTTTCGACTGTTAGGTCTTTGTCTCTTGATGACTACTTTTCCTTGCGGGCTTGAGTTTCCAAGCACAACTGAGCCTTTCAGCACTCGTGGCCCTTTGCTACGATAGAAACTTCTGACATATCAGCAGCACGTCGAGCCAGCTTACCCGGGTGTGCCGTCATTGAAGTTCATGAATGATAGCGCAAGACCACTGCAGATCAACAGCTGTTCCAGTCATTGCCACAAGAATACAACTTCAACAGACCTTGAATGTCCTTGAATGGTAATGGTTTAGCACATTTTCAAGTTGCAACAGCAAACAACGACATAAAGCACGATGTTTGCCAGGATGAACCTTCACCTCGCATCCGTGAAAGTGCAGCTTGGTCGCACGCTGCTATGCTCCGCACAATCTTGGTTCTTCCCATGTGACAGCTTTCGAAAGTGTCACACCTCACCACAGAATGATTTTGCTGCACCGTGTGAATCTGGAACTACACTTTTGTGGCAGCTCTCCTTTGACATGTCCCTCCAGCTTCCCCCATCCTTCATCAAAGGCCGACCAAAGCTGTCGCGAATCGGATTGTGAGCATATTGAAGGACTTGCGCGAAAGGCTGGGTGTGTTCTTCTGGGTTTGTGGCCAGGTTGCAGGTGATTGCCTTCAAGACCTTTGAGATACACATCCTGCTTGGTAGACCCTGTCTTGCATAAATCCGGAGTCCTAAACCCGAAGGCTCTGAATCCGATCGAAGCACTCAACAACCGTAAACGTGTCTTCAAGTCAGGACTGCACACAGTACTTGGAGGCTTCAGCGCCTTGCGGCTGACAGCGCAGCTAGGCATCTAGCTCGACACTTCCACAAACACGCCACGCCTTGTTTAAGCCCGAATCTAGTTTAGGGTTCACGGGTCCAAGCTTTGCGAAGCAGAACTTCGTGACAGTACTCTGGTTTACTGGCCTGTTGCGTTCAAGCTCCGAGTGTGAACCTAGTTAGGCCGTTTTAACATTCGAACTTCCGTGCTTCTTGCTTCAGCTCTCAGCCTCGAGACGAAATAATGATGGCTCCCCCTCTTGGCCAGGCGCAACATGATGGAGACAGCTCGCTGCTCAGTTTGAGGGCTGGGTGGCTTGCTCGTTCTTGCACCGTGCACCTGACATGATCGTGCTTCGGTGGCGCCAGGTCTAAGGGCTACTGGTGTAATTTAGACAGGTATCGGATTACAGGTGCCAGCATTTCTGGAGCGTCAAGCAGGCTGCAGGCTACTGAATTTTCGAGCACTCATCATTCTGCTACTACGATGAACCTGCTGGTTAGACATCGTTGCGTGCTTTGGGAGTGCAGGCTTCTCCGGGAAATTAGCCCAATGCGTGATGAAAATCAGCCATATGGATGAAAAGCCTGTAGCGTGCCCTCTGCATGACCATCAAGATCCCCAAGGCTCAAAGTCCTTGAGCCATTCCGAACCTCAGCCTGCCTGAAGCCTTGGGACATACCCCAAGCAACCGCTTGAAATATTCTGAGCTTGAAGGGAAGTGAAAGGCCACGGCACGACATCAGCTTCCAGAATGGATGATGTTCACGTCCTTGCCAGCCGCAGCCTGAACGCCTTGGCTGCTTCTGAGGTCGGGAGTCAGATTGTCATTGTCATCATCACAGTCATGTTCACCATCGCAATCAGTCTTGCCGATAGCACCACGGCATGCATCATCACCGACATCATCATCATCATCATCATCATCATCATCATCCGTTAACAAAACCACTACCATGCAGTCGTAGCGGCAACATCAGGCGCAGTGGTAGCAACAGCAGCAGCATTGGGGCAGCCGGCGAAATTACCATCTCGAAGAGCGACTGGCATACGGAAGTCGAGTCAATATGCACGACTTTGTAAGACTACAGTAAGAGGGGCCCGTCCCCAGCCCAGCTGAGCTGTGATAAGATTAGCACAGGGGAGTTTGGTGAGGCCTGCATGCCAAGGTGCTACCACCGGATCTCCGGCTGCGGAGCCCTAATCCTGAGAACGTTGAAGAATTTCCGGATGACATGAACATCATGTACAAGGAGCAGCTGACAGTTGGGGCATCGTTGGAGGTCTCCGTGCAAAATCTGCGTCTGTCTCTCCCGCTCGCTCTTTGATGCCAGCTCTCTCTCCCTCGCCCAATTTGTCTTTGTTTGCGGTTCATTCTTTCAATGCACGCAGCGGAAGTGCATGAGGCCGAGCACCAAGGCAGACGCTCCGCCGCAAGAAATCAGAAATTCCGCGTGGGGCGCTGTTTCTTGCCTGACTGCAATCTCAATCACTCCAAGCCGAAAGCAATAAAAACCCAAAGCCCTAGGTTATGGGGTAGGTTAACCAAAGCCGAACGCAATGCATATCATGATCAGTGAGAGTCCATGGGGAAGCAGCCTTCTGCTGCCCACGCCTTCAGCTATTCAGCTAGCGTTGAGAGGGCCAAAGAGGCTAGAGGCAAGGTGGTTGCAAATAATTACTTTTAGGAAAACAATAGGAATTCAATAGGATCTTGGGGTTCCTTTGGAACAGGAAAACCATAGGCTTTTGGATAGGATTTAGGAGTGGTCAGTTGAAGGGTTTTTATTTCTAGGACTGTAGTGAGAAAGGTTGTAGGGTAGTTATGATTGGATGTTTTGGAGCTCAGGACGGTCTGTGTTTTCGGCTCAGGCCGGAGATTTCTGTTCCCAAAGGTTTCGCCAGCATGAATAGCAGCTGGCAGAGCTTTGCCAAGAGGGAGGGAGCGAGGGGGAGGGAGGGGTAGGAGGGGAGGGAGGAAGGGAGGGCTGCGGTCAGCTGTGGCAGGACTGTGGCGGGGAGGGAGAGGGGACAGGCTTGCTCCCTAGCAGCCTGGTGCCAGAGCGC